ACCAATCATATTTTTCCGAACCAATCAATTTTTTTCAATACTACAATCATTGATTAAAGAAGCTTCGTCTTTTCAATGTAAATTATCTCAAAAACTGAGAGGCAGACTGAATCATGTGCACATTTTTATTTAGCAATTATTAGAGAAAAACGTTTCTGACATTTTGAATGGTTTCAGTCCAATGTAGCAATCACCCTTTAGGAATTATAGGCTAAGGAATAGAAACTTGGTATTCTTCGATAAAAACTAGAACAAACATCAATTTTTTTGACGGTAGTAAAACTGGCTAAAGAATCTATTAAGAAAAACACAAGTTTTATTTATGTTTTGACACCCTGTACCTCGGAAACTATTAGCTTCGGATAAGACAAATTGTCCTAAAACGAATTATTTTTGCCCAAAAAATGTGTCAGTAATTTTTTTAACATTAGTTGACTATCTCCCTGTATTTGCTTTGTACGAGGGTGGTTTGAAAATTCAGAGAGATGGCACCACTGGTGCTTATAGACGTTGTTTTCAGTTAGTAGCATCTCTTGGAAGAACACACAACAGGTTTCAGCAAGATCGGTTCATTTCTTTGTGTTTCTCATTCGTTGGAAGCGACGAAGTAGAGCAATTTTTAAAACATGGACTTTCCGCTACTACTGAAGGCATGTTGAGCGAAAAAATCGGGCCTCTTGAAAATTGGACATAAAGAAGTTATCCGCAAGATAGATGCCGCGATTGCTCACGATTGATCAAACGCGCAATTGTGTGAGTTATTGCATGGACGACTTGCAGCTTTAGTAGTGCAAGCCGTAGGTCTTTAATCGTCGTGTTGTCACTGTATGAAACATGGATACACCGCTACACTCCTGCGACGAAAGAACAGTTCAAACAGTGGGTTGGCAAGGGGGAATTTCCACCAAAAAAGGAGAAGACAGTTGCTTAAGGTGATGGCAACAGTTTTTTGAGATTCGCAAGGACTAATGTTTATTTATTGTATGGAAAAGAGTAAAACTATTACAGGTGCATACTATTCATTGGTGTTGGACTCTTTGCAAACCGAGCTGCAAGAGGAACATCCACGATTGGCCAAGGAAAAATTATTTCTCCATCACGATAACGCACCGGCTCACATCTCAACACTTGTGGCCACAAAATTGATGGAAATATGCTTTGAGCTCGTTCCATATCCCCGCTATTCTCCAGATTTGGCTCCCTCGGACTATTCGTGTTCCCTAATATGAAAAAGTGGATGGCGGGAAAAAGCTTTTACTCAAACAAGCAGGTGATTGCAGAGACGAATGCCTATTCTACAGACTTGGACAAATCCTCTTAATCGGAAGGGATCAACAAACTAGAGACTTGTTCTTCTTATGTACCGTGTCCTTTCAGAACGTTGGTTACCAACAACGCTAGCCGTGTTGTCAACAACTTTGTCCACAGCAGCTCTAAAAAGTGTGAGCGAATTCATACTTTTTCGTGTTTGTACCATTCGTTTTGTACCAGTCGCGCATATTTTTCAGCGATGACGTTTTCCTCCTGCCGGGTCCGCGGCTGCCATGTATTTTACCCTGCATGATGTTTTGTAAGAGTCGGTACTTTTCTCCTCACCTCGCATGGCATGGCCGAAATACTCTAGTTTCCTCTTTTTTATAGTGGAGAGGATCTCAGTGGTCTTATTTAAGCGCTATAGTATTGCCACGTTGGTGATTCTTTCAGACCACGTGACTCTTAGCAGTCTTCTGTAGGCCCACATCTCGAACGCTTCAAGCCGACTTTCTTCATTTTTGTTGATGGTCCAAGCTTCAACTCCGTACAGTAATGTAGAGAATACGTAGCATCTCAGCTGTCGAATTCGCATTCTGCATCCTAGAACATTGCTCATTTTTCTGTAAGCTCCGCGTGCTTGTTCCATCCTTGATCTTACTTCGGTGTGGCTATCTGCATTTTCAGTTATAACGCTGCTTAGGTATCGGAACTGATAAATTTGTTCCAAGCGCATGCCTATGACTCTGATATCAGCTCTGATGTTCTGCTGTTTACTGATTACTAAAACTTTAACTGATTAAAAAAGCCAGCTGCGTCGCACTTTACTACCACACTGTTCAAACTCCGCTGTAGATCTGATGAGCTAGAGGCCAGCTAAACCGTGTAACCCGCGTACCGCATGTTATTTATCAATTCGCCATTAACGACAATGCCCACTGCTGCCTCCGAAAGTGCACCTTTGAAAATTCTCTCTGAGTATACATTCAAGAGCAACGGATATAGGATGTACTCTTACCTTACGCCACGCTTGATGGTTACTTCTGGCGTGATGGATCCCCCCACGCTGACTATCGATGTCTGACTCTAGTATAAGTTTGCGATTACTCTGATATCCGCCCCGTCCAGTACAATCAACTTGAGAGTATCCACCAGGATCTCATGTTTAACCCGGTCGAAGGCCTTTTGAAAGTCTATGAAGCAGGCATAAACATCATCCGAGATGTCACGGCTTCTCTGATCGAGGACATCAATGCCGAAAAGTTCTTCACTCGTACCGAGGCCATTACGGAACACGAATTGCGTTTCACTTAGATAATCCTCACACTTCGCATATATCCGACCATAAATGATTTTCAAAAATATCTTCAACATATGGTTCATTAGGCTAATAGTTCTGTATTCATTGCACTTTTTAGCCGTGCTTTTCTTTGGTATTGTTATTAACGCAGATTTTAGCCAGTCGTTTGGGAATTTACCACTAGTGTATATTTTGTTGAAAAAATCTGTGACCACTTTTAGGCCAAATTGGTCGTCTATTAGCTTGTGTACTTCACAAGGAATATCATGCGGTCCTACCGCTTTGCGACTTTTTGACCACCTATATATATTCAACATCTTTGCATGTAAATTTGTGGTCCTTCTGTATCCTGTAAAGCCGGTGTTGCTATTCTGTCGTCAAATAGTTCCGTTATATAATTTGTCCGTTCAATTAGTTTTTGTTGCAATCTTTGTACTATCTTACCACTTTTATCGCACAGTACTCCCGATGCTCTGTTTGATCGTGAATGGTCAGTTGCTTCCATGATCTTTTTATACATATTAAAGGAGTCATATGTCGCTTCTAGGTCTCCTATCTCTTTGCACTGGCTAGCCAGATAAGATGCTTTTACTTCCAGGATTATCTGTCTTATTAACAGCTGTTTGACTTTATAAGCTTGTTTACTGTGTTTTAGTATCTTACGTTCCTCCACTAAATCCAACTAAATCCAATATTTCGTCTGTCATCCAGGGTCTTTTCTTATTTTGAGTTTTACTTTTGAGGTGTTTTTGACAAAGGTTGCTTATATCTGTTCTAATCTTGTTCCACTGGGTGTCAGAGTCTGTCGCGTTCTCGTTGTGGGTTTCAAGGTATTTGTGAAGTTGTTCTCGGACTATACTTCTGATGGGCTCCTTCCTTAGTAGTGTGCGGTCTATGCTGTTTTGGCTTTGTTTTTTGAGAATTTGCTTTAACCTGATGTGTGTTCTCGCTACTAACGGATTGTGAGCAGATCCAATGGCCGCTCCTGGGTATGTTTTGGCGGACTTTATGCTACTTCTAAAACGTTGTTTTACCAAGATAAAGTCGATCTGATTGCCGCCATTCATATCCTCCGTCTCCGCATTCGACGTCCAGGTGTACAGCCTTCTTTGGTGAAGTTTGAAAAAGGTGTTTGTTATAAAAAGGTCGTTATCCTGGCAGAATTGAATAAGGCGGTCACCCCGGTCATTTTTACGACCCATTCCAAAGCCACCCACTATGTTCTGGCATTGCTCTTTTCCCACGTTTGCGTTAAAGTCGCCCATAACTATAGTGTTGTCTGCCTTTTTTACGAGAGACAATGCCTCGTTTTCGTCTTCACTACTTTTAGTTGCTACTATCTAGTTGCAGGTGCGTATACTTGATATTTAAGTTGGTTTTAAATGGTCTTAAGTTTAGCTGGGTTAAAATTACTCAGATATCAGATATTGACACTGATTCTATTACCGATTTTGCTAGTGATTTAGATAGGATAACGGCCACCCGATTATCGTGGGCTGCTCCTTTATTCCCCACGTATAACACTTGGTAATCGTCTACGGTACACATCCCGCATCCTTTCCATCGCATCTCGCTATCGCCAGAATATCTATCCGCAGCCTTTTCATTTCCTTGATTGCATTATGGATTTTGCCACTCCTGTACATACTTCTTACATTCCAGGTAGCGACTCCCAAGCTCATGTTATGTTTCTTTGGTTTTACACTTCCTGTGCCTTTGTTTAGCATTGCTTTCAACACTTTCTTGGGGATTGGGGGAATTACTCCGGAATTGTATTTAGTATTGACTGACATTGCTGGATGCTTACTAAGGATATCCATGAAGATCTTTACTGCAGTGGTTTCCCGTTGCCTTCTGCATCCTATACCGTTGACCATCTTTTGGTTCGTCCGCCTTTAGAAGCGTATTCACGTTCAAAGGGCAAGAGGGTCTCTCTTGCTCTCTTGCCAGCTCATCCATCCGAAGCTGTTAGCTGACAAGAGGGATCTGCTTATACCGGCAGAGATTCAGTCTGCTTGGTCGGGGACTGCTTATACGTTAAAAAAGAGTATTTAATGCTTATTTCGCAGCTCGCCTCTATATCTAGAGGCTGTTCACTATCCGCCACCTGTGACCCCGTTGGTAGCCTTCAGCACAGCCCCACCGTTGGACGAAGTGTATTAGTCTAAAGGGAGATTATATTGAAATATAAAAATGATCTATCCTAAAAAATCAGGTAGTTTTTATTTTGCACGGACTTTTCAAACCATCCTCGTAGAAGTAACAGCGCAAACATTTACATAATGTTAATGAGGGACAAGGCTGGCGAATTTGTGATTAGACAATTCCGAATTTTCTTTTTTACGATAGCCTGAGAACTGTTTCAGAGGAATTAAGCTAAATTCGCATGACATTATTTAATTTTGGTGAATAAAAACCGATAATGTAATACAGAAGTTTTGCTTCTTCTGTGTTTACCGACACGGAATATAATTGCAATGCCAACGGCGCAAAACGATTTTCACCTAAGGGCCAAGTGAAAAAGAGTTTAGAGACTTTAACGGTCCAGAAAATATGGGAAATTGAGCGAAAGATTTTAGAGGACTGCATCATTACTCTGCCAGCAGGTTGCCGAACTACAGTCAATTAAATTTGAAATTTTAACGGTGGTAAAAGTCGCCCTGACAAAGTTGTTTGCACTTTTCTTTCCAATGGGTTTAAACTATGCAATATTCTCAAATAGGAGAGTGAATCTGTGAGAAACGTATTTGCAATCTAATGCAAATGCAACAGTGTAAAAACTGTTTATTCTAATAATTCTTAGCGGGTTTGAGAAAAAGTGAAATTTTAATTTTTACAATATCATCAATACATTCAAAAACCATTAATATTTATTCTAGGATATCTGATGCTGCAAATCTTAAAAACGTATTTTTCTTGCTTCGTAATGTTTTTCACCTCGAGAGTCACCTACAACAGACAAGTAGAAGGGACAGAACGTTCCAATAGTAAATACCTATATTTAATTTAGAAAAGTTACCTTGAATTTTCGACGCCACTCCTGACATCGCTCTCAAAAGGTATGCAAAACAGTTAAGTTATTAGTAAATTGATCAACAAGGCTCATGAATACGAACGAATCTGTAAGAATACGCTCTGAACATTTTGCATAAGAGCACTCCTTATCAATTCGTAATGAAATTCAAGGTTGGGGGGATCAAGTTGTAAACTAACCTGATCCGGCTCGTATGACCAAATATTGGGGGTGGCACTATCTTGAGATTGGTCAAATCCAGTTCGTAGGACCAAAGTGTACTGGTCYCACTCGTATAAATAATTTGGAATGCCAGACACGAGTATATGGGGGAACTTTCTACTATYCGAAGGACCAATGTGTGTGGGGTGCCAGTGTTTGGTGGGTATCGTTGAGAGCAGTTGCAGGAGTAAATAAAATCTGCCAGTTTCATATGTGCCTGYCTAACTTGCACTGGTGACACGTTTATTTTGCCACATTTTCCAATTGGCCTGGATAGTATGTTCTTTGAAATGGGCTGAGTAGCGTAATTCTAATTGAGTGACGAACTGTTTCCAATTAGTTCACTTGAGCACTGATTGGAAACTTGAGCACTGATTGATTTGAGGGTGAAGAATTACGGGTTGGGGTTTGAGACACTTCTCTTCCAGAGT